TCTCTCTCTCTCTCTCTCTCTCTCTCTCTCTCTCTCTCTCTCTCTCTCTCTCTCTCTCTGTGTATGTGTGCGTGTTTGAGTGCTGTTTTTCCTTGTCCTCTCCTTCTTGCGTGTGTAGCGCTCTCACTAGCACACGGGGTCGCTACCGTAGTGCTGCGTTCTAGCTCGCGCGCGTCAGCGTGAAGGAGGCGGCCGCGCAGACGCGCGCGGGGCCGCGCGTCCGTGCGCACTCCGGCGCCATGACCACGCCGGCATATCAAGAGATCGGCGATGGTGGCAAATCCAACGGTAGCAGAGAGAGCTGTTTCCTCCCTCCCACCTTCCCTCCCACCCTCCCAACCTCCATCCTTCTCCACCTCCCTCCCCCTCCCTCCCCCCTGCTTCCGTTCTTCCTATTCCCCCCCCTTCCCCCGCCCTCACGTCCAGATTCATTCGACAAATCCATCCTTCTTTGCTACGGTAGTGGGACCTCCCCCCTTGGTATCACCAAGGGGGCGAAATAGACCACTCGCCTCGGCTCTCGGTCACACCAATTTTTTTTACTTTTTTTTTGCCTGTCAATATTAGTTATTTTTGGGGGGAAAAAAAAATAGTGAGTACTGAGCGACGATACGGCCATACCCTCGTATCGTCTTCCCCCGAATAGAGAGAGTACGGTCATTACATCTGTATTTGGTCATCATTCAGTCCAGTTACAGCGATAATGTCTGTACGGGGAAAATATAGCTAAGTGCCCATCGCTCATCCTATGGGTGAAGATTTTTTGCGATCTGATTGCTCGACCTAGACCGAATGTTGACCCAAATACAGATATTTCAGGCACCGTTCTATTCAAGGGATTTTTAGCGATCCGATGTCTTGCTGCCACGTGGCAGACGTCCAAAGACCAGCAGACCAACGAATGAAAAAAAAAAAAAAAAAAACAATAAAAGTGGAAATGAAATAAATGTAAAATAAAACGGGTTCAGTTCTTTTGTTAACACACAAAAAAAAAAAAAATCAATCACGGAGGAAGGAGCACGGAGGTTTTACGTGGCATAAAATGCTACTGCGGAGAACGACGAGTGAAATAAAAATAGAAATAAAAAAGAAATAAAAAAGAAATGAAAATGAAAATATCAATGAAAAAAAAAAAAATTAGCAATGAAAATAAAAAATAGCAATGAAAATAAAAAATAGCGACGGAAAAGATGTACTGAAGATGAAAACAGCAATGAGAATGAGAATAGAAAAATGAAAATATAAATAAAATTTATAAATGAAATTTAAAGTGATTATTAAATAGAGATTAACTCCTAAGATCATTGTATTCATTTAATTGCTTCAGTTTTTTTTTTTAATTATATTTTTTTGAAAATTGCTTCACGATTTGAACTCCTGGAGCGGTGTCCCACTAGCAAAGAGGATTGGATTGTATGCCTGAACCTGGACGTCTTTGTGGAGAGAGTGCAGGAGATCGAGATTGAATTGCTTTTCTGCATCTCTGCTTAAAACACGTCCAGGTTCATAAGCTTCATTCAATCCTCTTTTGCTAGTGGGACCTCGTCCCCGATGTGTTTTATAACCTTGTCGTGTGATGTAAGCCACATGGGCCGTAACGAAAAAAAAAAAAAAAAAAAAAAAAAAAAGAAAGGAAAGAGAAAAGAGAGAAAGGAAGTCACTTTCTAATACCCAAAGAAAATTAGCTTTTGCCTAAACTGGTAAAATAGTAGTGATAAAGAGAGCAGACAAAACTGGATTAAAATAAATAAATTGCCCGTATGTTAAAATCGAGAGATGTCTGTTTATCGTCCGGAAAATAATAAAGTACAGTGAGATGTGTATAAGAGACAGGGATAGGATAGAAAGCCTGAATGTGGCGGTTTTTATGCAGAGATGCAGAAAAGCAGTTCAATCTCGATTTCCTGCACCTCTCGACAAACACGTCCAGATTCAGGCATTCGATCCGATCCTCTTTGTTAGTGGGACCACGCCCACGGTGCCACACACTATAAAGAAAAAGGACTACTGAAAAAAAAAGAAAAAAAAAAGTGGGGGAATTTTTTATTTTTTTTTGAAAAAAAAGGGGAAGTGGAAAGAAAGAGGAAGTACAGCTCACATGAACTGCACAACAGATTGTTTCGAGCAGCTCGTCTGAGCGAATCAGGGCATAATTACACTTGGACGTTTTCCAGAAAGAGCTGGACGTATGGATGTGATCGCGGCCAGATTCATCCTGGTTCCGCCGGCCGGAATCGCGGTCAGATGCATTTTGGAAACTGCTACTGTGGTATGCCCTCAGTGAACGCTTAGCAGATATGGAATCGATCCGAATATCGACGGCTATAATTGCACAGATTCGGACTATTGGAGACGCTACTCCAGAAAAGGCAAGTAGAAGACCCAGTCGAGACTGCCGGCATGCCACGGGAATAACCCCCTTGTTGACTCTCTCTCTCTCTCTCTCTCTCTCTCTCTCTCTCTCTCTCTCTGTGTGTGTGTGTGTGTGTGTGTGTTCGTTTGAAAATCTCTCTCTCTCTCTCTCTCTCTCTCTCTCTCTCTCTCTCTCTCTCTCTNGTAGGAGGGCTGCTATAAGGGCCCGTCTAACAGGTTAGACAGACTCCTTTCTCACCCCTCTCTCTCTCTCTCTCTCTCTCTCTCTCTCTCTCTCTCTCTCTCTCTCTCTCAATATCGAACCTTAGATGACTGTAAAAGGCAGAGAGGGAAGGCACCAGGCCCCTCGATCTCCTTTCGATTTTTTTTTTAATTTTTTATTTTTCCCCAAATGTTACAAAAAATTGGTGGTTAGGAATATGTCGGGAAAAAAAAAAGCTGAAATAGTTATCAAGCTGAAAAAGCTCAAACTGAAAAAAAGCAAAAGTCCATTACTTCGGACAGAGAAAAAAAAAATGATATATTCTTCCGGAAAAAAAAAGATAAAAAAAAAAGAAGAAAAAGATGAGACTGAAAGCGAATCAATAACAACGTCCATCTCTCAGAGAGAGAGAGAAACGACTTGTCATTATGACTCAGACGTCGTCATAGTTAATCGGTCAAAGCGTCAAGAGGAATATATCCGCCGAATCCCCTGCCCACCGCATCCTCACTTCATACGCCTTCACTCCATCCACCCACTTCGGAACTTCATCGAAAGTATAACGAAGGATCATCGAATATCAAGGGTGCTAGACGTCGTCGTAGTGAATCGGATCATGATTCATTTACCTTTTTTTTTTTTTTTTTTTAATACAGAAACATGCCGGTGAGGTAGTTAATTGGATCAGGAACTTGGACTTGAGTGCAGATAAAAAAAAGTGCACTTACTGCTTTCGTTCGTTTCTTCTTAAAGTATTTTCAGAAAAAGAAAAAGGCTTTTTCCAGACCATGCACTTGGCCATGGTGGCGTCCAAGTTCATTTTGACAGGGGGCGTCCGTGGATTTTTTTTCGCGCCCTTGGGGGCGCTTAGACCCGTTGCATCCGTTTCGTGACACCGTTTGAATTTCCGAAAAACACAAAAGACAAAAAAAAAGTACATTCATTCCGTTTTAAGAATTTCTTTTTAAGAATTTCTTTTTTTTTAAAGAATTTCTTTTCTTTTTAAGATGCTGGTGATGATGATTGATGATGATGATGATGAGAAAATGAAAATTTTCGATTTTTTTTTTTTCGATTTCTTACAGCTTGGAGTTGGGAAGCCAAATGGTACTTGTGCATTGATTTTTTTATTTTTTTTTTGTTGATTTTGGTCGATTTGATCGATTGGTTGATCGGTTGATTGATTGATTGATTGATTGATTGGTTGATTGATTGGTTGATTGATTGGTTGGTTGGTTGATTGGTTGGTTGGTTGGTTGGTTGATTCGTTGGTTGGTTGATTGGTTGATTGATTGGTTGATTGATTCTGACCGAGTAATTGATTGGTAAGTTGATCGATTGATTATACTATTGATTGATTGATTGCCTGGTTGATGAATTCATTTATTGATTCAATTGCCGTTCGACCTACTATTGGTTGGATTATTATCTATCTATCTTCTCCCTTGATCGCCTGGTTGTCGATCTCGATTGATTGATTAGTTGATTAGTTGATTAGTTGATTGCTTGTTTGATTGATTTCATTGATTGGGTTTTGATCGGAGCTCCCTTGATGGCGTGGTTGTTGATCCCGATTGATTGATTCTATGAAGTGATTGATTACATTAACTGATTGCATAGATTGATTCAATTGACTGATGTATTCCGTTGATTGATTGATTGGATAGATTGATTCTATTGATTGATTGCGTAGATCAATGCTATTGATTGGTTGATTGATTGATTGATTGATTGATTGATTGATTGATTTTGTGCCTCCAGTCGATCGGACGATCGAGCTGATCTAACGAAACCCCCCCCGCCCCCCCCCTCTCCCCAGCTTTCCTCCAGCGCACAGGGCTACCGTCTTCCCCCGAATAGAACGCCCGGTCATTATGGCCGCATCTAGACTGAAAGTTGGCCCGTATACGGCTATAATGACCGGGTGTTCTATTCGGGGGAAGAAGGTAGCCTAAGAGCATACTCGCAAAACGACTTGTTCCGTGAATTTATTTGCCCGCAATTCTGGACCGTGCTGGGTGTACCTGACCGCAGTTACGGCCAGAGGTGCCTCCAGGAATTTCTACCGTCTTCCCCCGAATAGAACGTACGTTCATATAGCTGTGATTGGGGCAAACTGTAAGTCGAGATAATAGGGGGATCATGACCGTTCTTCGTTCTATTCGGGGGGAAGACCGAAGTTTGCTTATGCCCTAAGCTTCTCTGCTCCTTTCTTTGCCTTTTTTATTGTTTTTTCCAAATCATAATTACTTTTTAAAAGTTTTTTTTCTCCTGTTTTTGTAAGTTTGGGCCGTTTCTCGATAGAATTTTTTTTTTTTATATGCACCTGAAAGTTCGATTTATTTGCGGTGTGCCCCTCTGATGGCGGACTTCCCCTGTCGTGCCCCTCTGACAATGATTGAAGTTTCCGAAGAATCCCTGGCATCCCTTGGGACTGAAATATTTTGAATATGCCCCTACCATTCCTGGTTGCAAATTTCCAGGATGCCCCTACTGGATAGCTGTTGAGTACCAGCCATAAACTTTCCCATATGCGCCTGCCGGTACCCTGCATCTTTGCAGCGCGCCTCTGTGGCCAACTGCATCTATGGTGGCCACTTCATCTCTCTCTCTCTCTCTCTCTCTCTCTCTCTCTCTCTCTCTCTCTCTCTCTCTCCCCCCCCCCTTCTTCAACAGGTATCTGGCACCAGGAGTGTATAGCCAATATGACAACACACACACACAGCATACTAAGTGTATCTAGACCTTGTACAGATCCGTTTAGACTGATCGAACATTTTGAATGCACCGGACCTGTACAAGGTCTAGATACACTTAGTATGCTGTGTTTAAAAAAGCATGACTGTGCCAGACTCTTTCATCGGACTTTCACCGACTGTGCCAGACTCTGTGTGTGTGTGNTGTGTGTGTGTGTGTGTGTGTGTGTGTGTGTGTGTGTGTGTGTGTGTGAGAGAGAGAGAGAGAGAGAGAGAGAGAGAGAGAGAGAGGAAGTGGGCGCCATAGATACATGTCACCGTTTCACGAGACGAGTATCTCTATGGCAGCAACTTTGTTTCGCTCTCTCTGAACGAAGTGGCTGCCATAGATACCCAGGGGCACACACACACAAACACACACCGTTATTTTTTGCGGCAGTGCCACAAAAACCACGTACTTCAATTTGAATGTCCTGCGCGTCACTCCTTCGAGGGCATGATGGAAAGATGCATGCCCCTCATGAGGGCATATCGCGCCGGGAGGTTCAGAGGCCCCAGGGGCACGACAGGGTAAGTCGGCTGTCGAAGGGGCACGCCGCAAATAAATTCATTGAACTTTAAAGGGCATATCGAATATAATTTTTTTTTCCTTTCACGATTCATCCCTTGCGCAGGGGCCATTTTTGCTAATTACCCTTCTGTATGGTTCCAATTTTAACGGAGGTCCCAAAGTACTTTAACTTCTTCTTTGTTTTTTTTCCCCTTTTATACCATTAGTACCTTCGCCGCGTGGGAAAATAGCGGGCCTCGGGTGGGCCTCCGACCTTTTCGGAGGCCAAAACGAAACAACGGCCTCCGATCAGATTTATCAATGGCAAGCAGCCGTCGTCTGGCCCGGCCTCCAAAAATTTTAGGAGTTTGGGAGAACGTCCACTTTTCCCTATTTTCCCAACACTGGCGGAGGTACTAGTGGGTTATGGCGATGCGCCGACGGCCTTGAGATACATCATTGAACTGAGAATGGTTTTATTCTGGTCATTTTTTTTATTGTATCTGGAACTGGGATTTAATATTTATATATTATAAAACCGGGAACCGAACCGCACCCGGCGTCTGTTTTCTGATAAGCAGATTACGTTGAATCCTGCCTATTATACGCTCTAATCTGAAAACTTGAGACTTGCAAGGTACCAATCGAAATGAGGTTATTGCATACATTCCGGGAGAAGGCCATAATTTACAAGAGCACTCTATTGTTATGGTTCGAGGAGGTGCTTTTTTTTTTTTTTTTTTTTTTTTTTTTTTTTTTTTTTTTTTTTTTTTTTTTTTTTTTTTTTTTTTTCCTCTCAGCTGTTGTAAATGCCTTTCAGTTTTTCTTTCTCTTCGTTTTTCTTTTTGTTTTCTTGGCTGTGGTCTTGATGACATCTGGTGATGCGATGAAACCAAGTGAAGTACACGAGTCATGCGTAGACCAAGCCACACATGCAGACATAGCCAAACGCAGACAAGTCACAAACTTTATGTCAAAGCACTTAGAGAAACTCAGAAACGGCTCCCCGCCCATAAAATGTTTTCTTGGCAGCTGTGGTAAATGTTTTCTTGGCTGTGGTCTTGCTGACATCTGGGCCCCCAATGAAATTTCGTTTGTGTTCCCCTTGCACAGCTAGGGTAGGTCCAGGTGCAGACATGGCGTCCTGTTTACCAGTGTTGGGTGCCAGCTTGGTTCGCCTGCAAGGCTGGAGCATCAAGCGCCGTCTCCTCAGGTGCGCACTACTGGCTGGCCTCGCTCCACTACCCAGCATTTGACAGGTATCTGGACTGTTTTGTGCATAAGATACATTCGGACTTGTAGAACACCTTGAATGCGTGTGTTGGGACCATTTCCCGCTCCAAATGGATTTAGAATGTTGCACAGTGGAGCGAGCAGGGAGGGGCCATGCTAATCTTCATTCTCTCTGTATCGTTCCAATTTTAACGGATGTCCCGAAGGACGAGGCCCTTTTTTTCGTGTTCCCCTCTGACACCACGGCCGACCCCTGTAAATAAATATGACACCCGCCGGTCGGACACCAGGGATGCCGGTACTTTTGTCGCCTTTTTGAACTTGGCGTGGTTTTCTTTGCCGACACACTCGGCTGAATTTTGTTTTACCGCCGTCCCCCTCTCTTACTTCATCGAACCATTCTATTATATCCTAGGCCATATAACGCTGCATTTTTTCGTAAAATTCCAGTCACAGTCCATCTCATCCCCTTTTTTCTCCTCCTTTGTACTTTTGCGTACCCTCCCTACCTCATTTTCTAAGAGCAGACTCAATTTTTTCCACACGTGTTTTGGACAGTCTTTTCAACATCAGCTTCATCAGATATTGTGAGGCCTTCTTCCCGTCCTCGTCCTTCTCTGGTCCCACATTTCTTATGAGCAATTCTTCATACAATTGAACAGAACATGCGAGTCTTATGAATGATCCTGTCTTATCCAAAGGACGCTGGACGCGTTTTCCAGCAGGTGCAGCTCCCCACCAATAGATGGGGCAGCCAGGACAGAGGTGGCAGGATGGGGAGTCTTGTAAGTAGGTGGGGGGGGTGGAGGGGGGGGGGAACACAAACAAACAAACAAACAATTGAACAGCATAATCTTGGATCTCGTTTGTCGTTTTGGTTGTCGGTCCATTTCTAGTTGTCCTTTTGGTTTTCTGTCCATTTCTAGCTACTAGATTATACAGTCCATTTATGGCTATTGGCTTCTGTCATCTCAAGCTTGCCAAGGTTTCCCTTGTGACCTTGTGACCTATGTCTATACTAGAATTTTCCTATGTCGGCTAGCTTACAACTTGTAGGTTTTCCCATTCAACTAGCATTTTTTTCCTGTTAATGACCACCAGTACTTGGCCCAGCTATCGGCCGTGGAAAAAAAATAGAGAGAGAATAGAAACGTTTCTAGTAGGATGAATTTGGGCGCTCCTGTAGTGGCACGTACGCTTCCTAAAATTGTGGCTTGTTAACAGGCATGGCTTTAGGAAGTGCTGGTGGTTTAATGACCACCAGTGATTTGGTTGGGTGTATGGACAAGTGTGGTTACTCAGTGGGTTAGAACCTAGGCTGCCAGCCGGGCCGCCCGGGTCACCCTATTTTTCCGGACGGCCCGGCCGTGCAAGGACCAGGGAAGGTCCTAGCAAAAAAAAAAAATAAAAAAATAAATCAAAAGCATCCGGAAAAAAACTATGTTATGCAGAAAAATAAACTGAACAACTTTTGCCTCAGGGTCACATCGAAATTCTTTACCGTATTTAAAATAAAAATTAAAGTTAATGTTTTTTATTTTTATTTTCTTGGCCCGGCCGGGCAAGTGGCCCCGGGCCACTCTGGTAGCCTAGGTTAGAATTTAGAACTCTTTTTTTTTTTTTTTCTTTTTGTAATGCACAAACTGCTCCATCTATTGGTAGAACTCTAGTGTTGCAACGGGATGGTCGCGGGCTTGATTTTGTCTGCCCTCAACCTCCCTTGTGCACGTTCAGTTGGCGCTTCGGTTGGCACTCCAAGTACTTGTCCCCCAGCCTAGTACAGCACATAGATGGATCAACAGACGTAGTTACTGTAGCTCACTGTGGGTTGGAGCTAGGTGCTGCAAGGGCAAGGTCTAGGGGTTGATTCTGATTGGTCCTGTAGTATGGCAGGCAATATCGTGCAATACGACACAGTACAGATATATCTGGGGTGAAGGCAGGGATGGGCGTGTGGGTAGGTCTAGTGGCGTGGATGATCACAGCGTTTGCTTACCTTAGGCCCTCAGTTTGGGGTGCTGGGGCCGCTCTAATGGCTAATAGGTGGTGTCATTTTCAACGAATTTTTCACCGAAACTGCCATATTTCCCTTAATTTTTGTTTCTTTTTTTTTTTTTTTTTTTTTTTTTTTT